GCGATATTAAATTCCCCGAATTAGATAAATATTAATATAAATATAGACCCGGGTAATTAATTACTCCTGGATATATATAAATATTAATAAGCCGGGATTAATATTACTAAAATGTATAAGATTTTTAACAAAATAATAAAGGATATCCCCGGGTCTTCCCTTTTTATACTGATTAATATAATATTTATATATATTGTATATAACTTATAAATCTAATTATTGTTTTTTTTTTTTTAATATAGATTATATTCTTTATATTCAATAGTGAATATTATATTATTAAATTTATTTATATAGCCTTCGTTAGCCAGTTTAATTACTTTCTATTAGAGGTTAGGGTTATAATTAATTATAAAGGGGGAACGCTGTTCTTAAATTAGAAGGGGGGATTAAGAAGAAATATATACTTTCAATTAATAGAATCTTTTAATTAGGGTTAAAGAATAATAAACTCCGGTTAAGTTATATTAGGATTAGGTATAGCGGGCATTCTAAATATATTTAGAGAAGGACCTCGAAGACGTAACGGCGTTAATATTTAAAATGAAGTAAAGGGGAACGATAATAAAATATTTAATAATAATAAGAAATTATTATTAATATTAGCGAAATTAGTATTACTTCGATGGTTATTGTTTTTATTATTTTTATATTTATATTAATATTAATCATCCTAAAAGTATTTTAAATATTAAACTATTTTATTACTATAAGTATTTATAAATTCCTTACGTTATTATCTATTCATATAATATTGATAAAAGACCTGTTTTATAACAATTATTAATTTAGATATAAAATATTAGGGTAGTCGACTATATATAACCGAACCCGGGTTTAAAGAACCGTTAACGGGATTAATATACTAGATTCCTTATTTAATTCGAAGATTGTATTTACGTAGTAGATATAAAAGTTTATGAAGTCTAAATTTTAATATCGGACGTCCCTTAGACGGGTAATATTATAATTATAATAGTTAAAATAAATTGGACTTCCGTTATTATAATAACCGTCTTTAATAATTACTTTAAAATTAGCCGAGGTTAATACTAATATATTAGGGGACGATAATATAATAGCCGGTAAAATACGTAATATCCAAAGGGAGGGCGTAAAAGTAATAACCTTTTGATTATTAAAATAGCAACGGCGTTAATAATCCTTATAAATTCTTTTACGGGTTCGTTAGGCTTCTATAGTAGGGGGTAAATCCTATAAATTTATACCTCGCTATAGAAAGGAAGGAATTAACGTACGTAGACTTAGCGTATATAGTTAGCTATTAATAATAATATTCTATATTAATTATTAAAGTAAAATAATAACCGTAGGTGCTAGGGATTATAAACGGCGTATTATCAACGCTATAAGAATTTAAGCTTCCGGAATAAATATTAGTATAATAAATATATTAAGTACGGGAACGGTTAAGTCCCAGTCTATTATAACCGAATCATTACGAATCAAATTTATAGCTCGGAGTAGATTTATTTTACGCTTTCCCTAAATATTATAATAATTAAAATATTATTAGACTAATTAATTTAAATTCTTTTTCTTAGTAAATTCGGGTAAAGGGAGGTCTTTTCTATAAATTCTATATTATTACAATTCCGGCTCTTCTTCTTCATTATTTTGAGGGCGTTACTTAAATAGCAGAAGAGGAGGAGACGAAGCTATATTTAAAAATTACAATATATAAACGTTAAAATTAATTAATATTAGGGGATATTATACAGTTATATAAAATATTATAAATAATTAAAATAAATTAGTTAAAAGTAAATTAATTAAAAGTACTCATGGAAATTGGAGTATTAATAGAAATTAATTAAAAGTAGATAAATTACTAAAAGCGGTATCGTTTAAGATCAATCGCTTATATATAAACGAAGTCGATTACGCGCGACCGATTATCGATTGTCGGGTATTTATTAATTAATTAATTTAAGAATGCGATAGATTAGGGATTATTTAAAGTTTGTAAACGGGGTTGTAAAAAAGGGATAGTTGATTAGGGAGAAATGATAACGTTTGTACGAAAGAGAAGCCGGGTTTGTAGATTTTAATAAATAACAGAGATTTTAGGAAAAGATTTGTAAATTAGATTTATTAGGGAGCTAGCCCCCCGGGACCCTCCGTACAAGGGTTAGAGTAATAATACTAAGAGGCTAGCCCTTTAAGACCCTCTATATAAAAGGGTTAGGGTAATAATACCCGGGGGCTAGCCCCCCGGGACCCCCCGTTCCCGGGGAAAACCCCCGGACCCCCGTAGTATATACGGACTATAAAATTCTAACTAATCCAAGGAACGGATTACCCAATCTACGGACCAATTACAATACGAAGAATCTACAAGGGTCTACCCCTATTAGAAAGAAGCTCCGCTATATGCTCGCTCACTTCGTATTAAAATACTTCTTTCCCTAGACTATATAACGGCTGCGCTTCAATTAAACGAGTAATATTCTTATAATATTTATATAGTATTACAGCTCTATAAGGTTCTATACGGTTCTATAAGGCTCAATCAAGCCTCTTACTCTATAACCAGGGGATTCTTCTAATTACTACCCGGTTATATTCTATATAAATTAGGGTCTTCTATACAATTTTCTAACGGGTAAATCCACCTCTCCTCTTTATTTATTACCTCCTTTTCCCTCTTTCTAATTACTACCTACTTCTTCTACTCCGCTATAGTATAATTTAAAGTAATAAAGTATTCCTTTTTAATATTATCCCTATTAATAAAATTTAGTAATAAATTTAACGGTAAATTCGGCTCTAATTCTAGAGTAGAGCGCTTACAGGAAGTATATATTAGGCGGCTAAAGGAAGCGGTTAGAATTAAAATCTTACTTCCCCCCTCCTTACTTAATCTCCTAAATTTACCCTTCTTACGTTTCGGCGCCTAATTTACCTATTAGGTATTATTATTAATAATAATACAATCCTTATTATTAACCGCTTTTCGCTCGTTAGCCGCTGCTGTTTTATTAACTTCTTTATTAATTTTATTTAATACTTTTAAACTAAATTAAAAAATTTCGATTCAAAAATAATTACATTTTATAACGCTAAATATATAATTACCTCTCCTAATTCGAATTATATTACGAGGACCCTTCCTATTAAGCGAAGCAGGCTTTAATATAATTACTTTATTATTAAACGGACTATACTAATTTTTAGGGCGCCCTTTAAAAACCGCTTTTATTATAAATACTATACGAAGGTAATAATTTGTATTATCGAAAGCTTCCTCTAAATATTAAAAAAAAATTATAATCGGCGGTATTAATTAAAGCCTTTTTATGATAGTCTTTATTGTACCACTTTAATAATTCGTATACGCAAGGTAGCCTATACTAAATTATAAAAGTACCGTTATAAATAAGCAAATTTTGGGGGTAAACATTTTTCGTGGTTCGTATAGCGTTAGAAGCCTTCCTATATTCCTTTATAAATAAATTTAACCCCTATTTAGTAATTTAGAGCTCACAATTACCTAATTAATTGACTTTAAAATAATCGCGGCGAACCCGGGAATTAGAAGCAACAATACCCTCTTTATACGAATTGTACCGCTTTTTAATAATTATTTTAATCGTATAATATATTTTATTAAAACTTATACGTACTAATAATCCTTCTGCTTTAATACTAACGTTAGTTGATTTGTTTGGGAAAATTATTTTATAATTATAATTAGGGAGCCGTTTAGTATATTAATTAACTTAATCTGTTTTATAGGGTATAAATTCGTTATTAATATATTTGACTAATCTTAATTAAGTATTTTTAAAGTTGGTATTTATAAAGCGTTTAACCTTATTAAAATTGTATAAATCGTTACTAAGTATGATATATTATTAGTATATAAAGAAAATAATCCTTATTTATACAACCTAGGCGGAAGGGAACTTATTTAAACCCGTATTCTAATAGCCGTGCGGACCTTCTAATACATTCGCTAAAGCTCTTTGAAATTTATAATATTTGGGTCGAAATCATTATTATGGTTTTGCCGGGGTTAAATAAATTAAGGGGGTTAAGAGGAAGGTTAAGAAGAAAGTTAAATCGATTAAATTAACTATAACCAATTTAATTAGGACCCGCCGCGCCCTTTCTAAGAGTTGCGCGTACCCCTCTAATTGCTACCCTTCTTTATCTTTACCTGCTTCTCCCCTTTCCAATATTTCTTAATAATAATAATAACGTTATTATTACAATATTATATATACCGTTAACGCTTTATTAATTTAGGGTGGTATGCCTTATAATTTTTGCGCTGATTTTTTTCACGATTTTTCTACAATGCCCTTTATTCAGAAGCATAGTTACAAGACTAAAAGGAACTGGTTAGCTGATATTGATTAGGGATTATAGGAAAGATTGGGAGATTGACAGATGGTTGATCGTATAGATTATTTAGATAGATAATCATTTATTTATAATTGATAAATAAGATTAAATAAGCTATCGATAGAAAGAAAGGAAGGTAATGAAAAGAAAAGGGGATTAATACGAAGAAAAAGATTATAAGAGAGATAAAAATAAGGAAGTAATAATATTCTTTTTAAATATACTTTAATATACTTTGGTTAAATATTTTAAATCGCCTTTCGTTATTTCTTTGCGTAAAATATTTAATTAATTATTTTATTAATAATTAAGCATTTTCTTAATCTTTTGCTTCTCTATTAAGGAGAAGGCCACCTTTATTTATTGATTATCGAATAGTAAATTTTATATTTATTCATTCTTTAAATTTTGAAGTTATTCGCGACCTATTCGTTCACTCTCTTTAACCCTCCTCTCTCTAAACCTTAAACTTTACCCTTTCTATCCACAATTAGCGCCAACCACTTCGTCTACTTAAATTATAACTTCCAATAGTATAGCCCTAATCAGCTATTTACAATAAGTTTTTATTATAGTATGTGGTTGGTTTTGTGTTGTGTTATTGTGTTGTTTTGGCCCATTTTATTATACTATCGAAAATAATATTTAGCGTAATAATAAATTAGGGGATGAGAACCGGTGGGTACGTCAAACCCGAAGAGAAAGGACAGTTCCAGGTCCCGCTGGTCGGTGTTACATATGTCTCCCTGGAAGTCGGCGTTGGAGGCGTGGATGTACCGTCTGATGCGGCTGTAGCCGTGGGGGGTTTGATACCAGCTTCTGTCTTTGGCGCAGTTGTACCCTGGGGATAAGGGGTGGTAGGGAGACGAGAGGGTGAAATCCTCGGTGAAGAGAGGATATGACCAAGCGGAGAGGAGATCCGGAGAGATGCGTGAGCGGGCGACGGAGAGAACGAGGTTGATCCATTCGTAACCCGAAAAAGTGTCGGGGTGTCGGGAGGAGAGGGTGGTAAAGATCGGGCAGGTGCAATCTGTTTCTTTCATGTTGTCGACGCCGTCGGCGGAGGCCGTGGAGGAGGAGAGGAATGCGCCCGCCCCGTCAGATAACAACTGGCCGAGGTTAAACAGCCAGAACTCAATCTGCCCGCCTCTAGGTCTGACGAGGTCGTAACCCGTAAACCGGCTCCAGCACATATGCTTCATCTTCTTCCCCAGCGCATAGCGGTCGGTGCCATGTTGGGACTTGGAAGCGTCGTACCGGTCCGGTCTTGCGCGGCCGCGGTAAGCAGTCATGGCCGCGACACTAGAAACGATTTCGTCCCACTCGCGGTCAATCGTGAGGCGCCTAGCAGCAGGCTGGAAGACCATATCCACCTCCCCCTCGGAGAGATCCAGTCCGAAGGCGTTGTCTGCGGTGATTCCTAGTGCCGCAAGTTGGGCGTCGAGACGCGTATGTGCGGGGCGGAGACGGTCATCGGGGGAAAGCCGGTTCCAAGCTAAGCCGGAGGCTGAGGCGGTTTTAATGTAGGACTCGCAACAGCGGGTTTTGCAGGGCGTGCAGATGTCGCGGTTGGGGCGGATGTAATCTTTAAGGAGAAGGATATAAACTTGCGGGTCGTCGGAGAGGTAGTTGAAGATGGGACTTCCTCCTATCATTTTGGCGGTTGCGATTGAGTGATTGAGTTTTTGGTGGTTGTGGGGAAGCGTATAAATAGTATGGTTATGATGATCATGGGGAATATTTATATTTTGAAGGCACGGCCTTGGATCAAGACAGTAGCTCGCATTGCCCCATCTCAGGCATGCCTGTCTTGTTCCCCTTCACACATGTGAATCATGCCCGTCTGACCAAGCTTGCGGGCTCGTCATCGACTGTTTGTTGTATCCCCCATGGGACGGAATGGTGATCCCATATCGAAGGAACCAACAACTACATGTACTCCTCGCCGGGCGGCTGGAGGTGAGTGTTGCTTAGGTAATGATACAGATAGTTAGCAGAATAAAGTAGGGGTACAGCCATATCTGGGAAATTGATGGCCGTCGTTGATGGTAGTGATATTGATGGGTGGTGATGGTGATTGTTGCAAGAGGAAAGTTGGGAGACGTCGAACTTCGGCTTCTGCATTTTATCAACCCCGCTTCTCTCCCACTCTCTGTTCTTCTCCCTCTTTTTCTCCCTCTTCTTCTTCCCCTCCTTTCTTCCGTTTCTCTCTCTGCTTCTCCCCATCTTCCCTTTCTCACTCGTCGTGCCTTCCTAGATTTGAAGTTTTTCATCATTCTTCAAGGTCTTGCAGCGGCCCAGAGAGCTTGTAGAGTTGTAGCGTGCTATCCCGGCCCAACGGTTAGGTATTCTCAATGCTTGAGACTGTGAGACATATCGACGGTTCGTAGCGTTGTAAAATTATCTGAGATATATCAACCGTAAAACGCTTCCTTAGATCCCCGGTGATGACGTTTACATGTTATCGACAGTACCGTATGTTGACATGTCGCGATGCATCCAATCTCAGGGACAATAATCCGACTCTAGCTTCCATTCGCAAATCTACCTCAAAGTAAATAGATCAACGCTACCTCTTTGGTTCCCATCCTACCAGAACAAGCAATCCACAGCCTATTCCTTCTTCATCATTTTTCAGCTTTCCAACCTTTTGAATCCCTAGCCCGAAGGAAACCCTGTAAATCCCTTCTACTGCCTACCTCTACCTACCTACTCTTCTAACTCCCACCCGAAAACCCCACCCTCCCAATCAAACACCTGTCTCATCATATGCTGAGGCCCCCATCTCATGTTGCGATCCTCATAATCCGCTCCGCTTTCCCAATCGATCGTTCCGTGCCTGATCGTCCATCCCTGCGCCTTCGATGACGGTCGAAAGTCAAACCCGTTTGTATCGTGGGCGCCTTCGTTTCTGCACAAGCGTGGCTGGCGGAAGGGCTTTACGCCGACGGCGGTGTTTTGGTTTTGGTCGAGGGGGATCTCCAGGAGCAAGCATCTGTTACGGAAGTATTCGCGGTGGGCAGTGTCGAAGAGAGATTTGACTGGCGGGAGAGGCGGGGGAGGTTGGGTGTGGGAGGAGGAGTGGGCGAAGCGGCAGGGTGGGAAAGTGTCGAGGTGAATGTCTCTGAATTGGGAGTTGATGGAAGTGGAGTTGGAGGGAGTGCCGGTGAGGAGGAGAAAGCCGGGGCGAAGGGAGTCTGGAGGATGTGTGGGGTCGGCAGCGGGGGCAGGGTCGGAGTCGGGACTGGCAGGTTCACCGGGACTTGGAACCGAAGAAATATCACCACTAGCAGTACCCCCTCCATTCTCCTCATGCTCTTCGTGCTTGTCGTGCTCCTCGTGGCCCAAAAGTGTTATTTGACTCACAGACCAATCCCAAACCACGTCAGCAAGCTGAGGAACGTCTACCACGTTATTCCTCTTGTGCACTTGATCTTCTTGCCAGCTTGTATCCGCTTGGCAGTCGTAACCCGGGCACAGCGGACGATATGGGGCTGAAGAACTGAGAAGTTCCTCGTCGTTCAAGGGTTGTGACCATGCTTCGAGAAGGGCTGGCTCTATCCGTTTTTGGGCGGTGTGGAGAACCACATTGATCCATTCGTAGCCGGTGTGTGCATCGGGATGTTTTTCATTGAGAATGGAGAAGATGGGGCAGGTGCAGAGGGCGGTGTTGGCTGGCTGGGGCTCAGATGAGCAGGACGGATCGCGATACTCGTCTCCACTCACACGGAGAGAGGATGAGGAGAGATAGACGTCCGCGCCATCGGATAAGAGTTGGCCGAGGTTCCAAAGCCAATTGGACATCAAGTCCACTGACGGCTTATGCTTGACTAGTTCCTGGGTTGTGAACTGGGGGCAAGCCATCCAAAGGACCTTTTTCCCCAGCTTGTACTGGTCAAACGGGTCGTCAGCACGATCTGGTCTGCCCATCCCTCTGTAGGCAGTCATCGCTGCAAAGGCCTCGACCACTAGGAACCAGTTTGCATTTAGCGTTAGACGGCGGACGGCGGGTTGGAAGATTTGATCGATTTCGTCTTCGGACAGATCCACACCATATCTGTTGGCTGCGGAAATGCCCAAGTTAGCTAGCTGGGCGTCGAGGAGACTATGCGCGGGACGAGGCCGTTCGTCCGGGGAAAGGCGGTTCCACCCGAGGTCCGGGGCGGAGGCGGTCTTGATGAAGTTATCGAGACAGCGGACTTTGCAGTTGGTGCAGATATCGGTGCAGGGACGGATGTAATCCTTGAGGAAGAGGAGGTAGCCTTGGGGGTCATCGGAGAGGTAGGGAAAGGTTGATGAGGCCATGGTGAATGAATGTATTTGATCGGTGGTATGACTAGGTACCTACGGTTCGTTGAATGGTGGTCGACGGGGATATGCAGAACAAGTCGAGCTACAGGGCTATTGCTGGCGACTATTTATACTTAGAAAGCAGCTCGAGATTGGCGGTAGGACTTGTCACTTACTGGTAGGTTGGTTGAGGGTATTCATCGGTGTGAAATATCCGTTGTTGTGAGCTTGACCTTGACTCCAGAAACCTCTTCCATGGGACCGAACCTCGACGCATCAAGCATGGCCGTGATTCCTCAGGCGTGGTGAAGATCGTTCGCCTGTTCCATTCGCACAATACCGTACCTGGCAGCTTGTGTGCTTGATCCATCGCCATGGCTCGTCATCGTGAACAAGCTATTTCGAGCCCCGACAAGTGCATTGACCCAAGATGCCTCCCGTCCACCTCCAGCTCAAGCCTCCTCCACGTCCTTCCCTTCCAGCGCCCTCTTACCTCTCCCCTCAAAACCCTCCAAAATTGTCTCCCTCTGCTCCTTCGTAGTGAAAACTAACTTCAACTCCTCCTTCTCTCCCCTCTCCCCCTCAATAACCATCACTCCCGCCCTACACTCCTCCTCCGTCGCCCACACAAACCTCACATGCTCATTCGGATCAATCACCACCTTTGGCAATCCCTTCCACTTCCCATCCACCTTCCCATCTCCCTCTCCTTCCTCGTCCCCAACACCAGACCCCTCATCAACCTCCACCTCCACACTAACCTTCAACACCACTTTCCCACTCCTCGTCAAAAACACCTGCGGCTTTTCCTCTCCACCAACCTGACAAACCATCCTCTTCGGCACCAGCCCCGCCTCCTCCCACATCTCCCTCGCTACACCATGAAGAAACGACTCGTCTTCGGGATCGCACGCGCCGCCGGGGATCTCCCACCGCAAGGGCATGGAGTCGTGCGGGGCGCGTTGGAGGAGGAGGATGCGGTCTACGGCGTCGGGCGCGGAGTTGGAGAAGACGAGGGCTCCGCCGGCGAGGCCTTGGGGTTTGATGCTGCCTTTGAGAGGGGTGGAGAGGAAGTGGGTGATGGGGTGGTTGAGGTGTGTGGCGGAGGGGGAGATGGTGAATGTGAAGCCGCCTTGTGGAGGGGGGCCGGGGAGGGGTGCCATGGCTGACGTTCTAGAGTGTGTTGGCGACAAAGGAAGGACCTGGGCGTTTTCAGATTTTGATGATTGCGCGGCTTGAAGGCGTGTTGAAGTGGAAGATTGAAGCTGACGTGGGTTGTTTGTCGTTGGGCGTCGTCATCGCTAAGAGCGGAAGAGGCCCCGGCAGGCAGCAATGGCAGCCCAAAATTGTTAGTGCAACCCCGCGACCCGCTATTGATGACGCTATTGATACCTGAATAATCCGCGCCCAATGTTTACTTTTCACTTTTCAACTCCCTTCTTTCTCAGCCTCATGCCATCGTCTGCTCAACGGAAGCTTGGTTTCAACACTGTTGAACTTCCTCCATGTCTCGGGGCTTCCGTACTTTTACATGCCTACAATTTTATTGAAAAGGGCAACAACGCTTTGTTCCTTGCGCCGGCAATGTCATCAGCCATTGACACTTGAAAAGACCCCCAAAGACAGCGCATTCACCAAAGCGTGCCTATCATGTCTTCTACCCGCTCCCTCAAAGGAGACAATGTTTACATTTGCCAACATCCTCCAAATATCCCAACGTCGACAAATCCGTATCGCCACAGCAACCGCTAACAATTTCACCCAGGACCACAATGTCAAGATGAGGGAGTCCAGTCCCTGAAACAAGGGGGTCATCAGCGTCACAACCGCCTCTGATTCGTTCGCACTGACGCACCGTTCATCTCAGGGGAGACTCCTTGGCTGCCACGATAGCGTACCACTGTTGGCCCCAAACCCCTGGATTCCATGTTTGATCTCTGCTCGACTGCGCTCTGGTGGTGTCGCACCTATTGGGCGAATGTGACAGTATCGGGGATTTGAGGGTTGGCTGAAGCATCTGTCACGCGATTTGACAGTTCGTGTCGAATTGGGGTTGATGATGTTGCGGTTGAGATGGATTGGGGATGCCTAGTGGTATTGACGACGAGATATCCGATGAGATTCCGGATATGAACCAGCTGCGTCACATATGGATGGTACTCCAGTCCATCGGCTGTCAATTTCATTCAGGTAGCAGACCAATGTGGTATTCTCAACCCTAACTCTCGGCATCCGGTAGACGGGAGGCGGTCCTCCACCCACCTCACACAATCCCATGGTACCAAACATAGCATGAAGATTCATCATCTCGTATCGTGAACTTCTTTCATTGTCTTCCTTTCACTTTTCCACTTTGTTTTCTTTCCTTCTTCAATTCCCATTCCTCTCTTTCTTTTCTGGTCACGATACCTCTTCCCGTTTGTTGACCCGGGACCGGGCCGGAGTGGAGCGGACATCTCAACCTCATCCCGTCACGACCGCAATCGATGATCAATATTCTTGGTTGAGCTTTTCATTCACTTGATCATAGTACGCAGGTCGTTACTCACAGTCTTTTCGGAATTTCCTTCTGTTTCATACTCTGATCAAGATCGGCCTCTCTTTCCTTCTTTCTCATACAATCTTTGATATAGCCCATGCCAACCGTGTTGCGATAACCCTTATACGCAATCGGCTGCCGACATGGCGGCTTTTCCTTTCTTATCAGCAGCCTCTCTTGTGCTTCTTCAGCTGGCATTACAATGTTCGGCCCAACGTCTGAATCTTACCGGGCCATTCCACCTCACCAACCACACGTCCAGCCAGAACCTCACAGCTCACACACAGCTGCCTCTCAACCTCACCACCCACACCCCCGGTGATGGCTGCGTCCACCTCCCCATCATCCACTCCACCAACGTCGACCACTTTGCCCGCCGCGGCATCCAACTCGCTCTCAACAACCGGTCTGACGTAGCTTACTACGCCCAACGTATGTCTTCCCCCATTGCATGATGTGCCTCTTCTCCCATACCATTTGAACTTGCTCCCCTTCACATGCTCATGTCCACTAACACCCCCAACAACAATAGTCGAAATCGGCACCCCCCCACAAACAGTCTACACCCAACTCGACACGGGCTCCTTCGAGCTCTGGGTAAACCCGGACTGCGCCACCGTCTCCCCCTCCGACTCTTCCTTCTGCCAACACATCGGGCACTACAACTCGTCTGCCTCCTCCACTGCCACCGCCCTCGGCACCAACAAAACCTTGCGTTATGGCATTGGCTCCGCCAACATCGGGCATTCAAGAAATGGGGCCGCCGACGGGTTTTTTAAGTGCGTATAATAGATAGATAGACCTGGGTAAAATAAAGCGTACCTAATGCTACCTACTCTTATCCCCGACAAAACATTTTCATCCATCCCGGAGGACACAAAATCTGGTGGTTAGACAAACTTCTAGTTTAGTTATGTTATAGAGATGGGACGTATATAGCGGCCGTTGTAAGACGTAGGTACAAGATACGTTCTTGGATGAATTGTAAGGAGAGAGCGACCAAGATGTACATACGTTCTAAGTACACCAAATAGGTACTGAGAGCTGTTAGAATTTGAACCCGTCCCGGGCATTCTAGGAACGACGTGTGCCAACACAACCGACCAAAATGAACTGCTTCTAGTTCTTGTTCATACCAACAACATCCGGTGACATTAGATGCTTCTCTTCTTTTCTCTTATCTGCGTGGCTAAGGTACTACCTAATTATATAACAATGAATTTGAAGTCCATAGAAACATCGGATCCCAAACGACATGGCATAACATAACATTGCTAAACATGCTGGACATGCAATGATGATGAACATGAATCAATCCTTCGTAGAAAATGCTGAGCTGAAAAATGCAGAACGCCTAGCCTTCCTTTGCGCCCAGTCAACTTTTGATCTGTGACCGGCGTGCGTGGGTATTAATATTCGCCTGCCCTCCCATCTAGCAGCTGTCTCTGACCTCTCTTCGGTACTGCCCTTCGTCCATTATCTCCCCCATCAGCTCTTCGTCGTCTTTCCTCTCCTACTTCCTCTTTCCCTCTTCATCCATCCCTCAACACCTCCTCCCTTTACACCCCTCATTGCGCCTTAGCCTTCCCCTTCCCCTTATTCCCCCTTCCAATCGTCCCCATCCTCTTCACCTCCCTCATCTTCCTCGCCAAACTCGCCCTCCGCCCCACATGCACCTCCTCCTCACTCCGATCCACGCGGAAACTGAAATCCACTACTCCCACGAGACTAATAACCGCCTTCACCAGCCCCTCGAGATCATCGCACACGAGGCCCGTGCACACTTGGAGAACAGCAAACTCTGCGTAACCTGGTTCGTCTTGGAGCAGGCCTTCGAGAAGGGATTGGTTCGTTTGTTGCACTGAACGAGCACGGCTCTGAGCCCTCGAGTGCGCCCGCGATGGAGCGCGCGAGTGAGCGCGAGAGTGAGGAGGCGAAAACGCCCTGGGTCTCGAAAATGATGGGTTGCGGCTGTGAGTGGGCGAATGACCCTGCAGCCCCGGAGGGAAGGAAAAGGCAAGATGGGCAGAGCCCGAAGGGGAGGTGGCGGGTGATTGAGCAGGAGAGTTGGCGTTAGGGTTGTTGCCGTGGGAGAGAGAGTGGTGGGTATCGTGACCGTGCGAGGAGAGGTGGCTGATTTCGTACTTGACGTGCTCGTAGTCGTCTTCGCCGGAGCGCGAGTCCATCAACTTAAATGGCTCTGGCTCGTTGTAGACGTCGTCGTCGTCGTCTTCGGAGTCGGATTCGGATTCGGCGCCGGATGCGTAAGGGCTTGCGGGGTGGCTGCGTAGTGGACTGGTTGTTCCGAGGCGGATTAGGCGGCGGGTAATTTCGTAGGGGCGCGGGAGGGGCATGAATGGTGGGAGACTTTGGCCGGAGAGTAAGGAGTTGGAGAGCAGAGTCAAGGTCGACAAGATAGTATGATGCGTCGGCTCAAGCGTCATGACTAGTTCCGCAACCTGATTATCCCACTTGGGGTACACGGCCACCGACGACGCGCGCGGGCTGGCGATCTGGTTTTTCGAAACATACGGCTTTATCTTGGTTGGAGCATGGATCGGGTTCGTAATTGTGTAGCTCATAAGCGTCAGATAGGCCACGATGCGATTACTCCTGAGAATAATTTCATCGTACACTTCCCTAGGAAACCTGCCACCAATTGTGGGTTCCCACTTCTGCCACTCCGAGTGCTGAGACATGGAAGGGATGAGCATCATCAGCTTGCCGAAGATCTTGGATCGGAATTTGAAGAGCTGGTGGGCGGGGGTTCCCTTAATGTTGACGTCGCCTGCTTGGTCGGAGAGCTTGGTTTGTAGGGTGGAGTTGATGATAGACGAATAGTTGGCAACGAGGTAGAGGGTTGCTGAAAGGTCACGGCGGAGCCAGGTCCGATCGGTTAGTGGCGAGGGGAAGATGGTCCAGATGAAGGCGACGAGACAGCCGCCAGCGACGCAAGCGAGGCGGTAGGGGCCCAGGAGGTAGATTCTGGGGACTCTGTTAGCGATGACTTGAGCGAAGAGAGGCTCGAGAGAGGTAAGAAACATGGACAACTCACTCGTATACAGGTTGCCCCGTTCTCTCGGCTGCCGCCCTTCCAATCATGCCCACCTGCAACTCATACCCGATAATCATGACCTGCGTCACAACGGTAATCATAACCGCCGGCATAAACCGGGGATACTTCAAAAAGAAGTAGTAACACAGGAAGATACTCAAAAATAAAAAGACAATGACACCCGGCGGGTGTCCATCAACGATATACCACACGATCAGTGACAAAACCATGCCCACCACCGTACCACATGTACGGCAGATGAAGCCAAACAGCGACTGACCAGAGGTCATGGTCATGCCGATGGCTACCATGATCATAGCCCAGACTAGGCGCTGCTCGCGGAAGAAGGCTTGGGTTTCTTTGAGGTAGGCGACGATACCGATGGACATGGTGGCGCAAGCGACGCGGAAGCCGAAAACGGATTCTTCTGACCCGAAAAACTTGTCGATCTTGCGGAGGCGGTTGCCGAAGCGTTCCCACGCTGTAGCGGGCGGGAGGTGTTCGGGATCCTTCTTCCTGTTGTTGAAACCATCGCCAAAGCTCACAATGGTGTTGCTGCTTTCCGAGAGGTCAGGCGATCCCTCGGCTGTTGAGTCCTCATTCCGCAAAACAGCAAGGAACCACTTCTCCAATCTCCTGAAACCTGGCATGATTAACCGCTTGCGCGACATGGTCCCGTCTTCGACCTTGGAATCGGCGTACGCAGCGAACTCGTAGACGGCGTTGCCCGAGGCGTGCATGAGGTTTTCCATGTACAGCAGAATGTTGAGCTGGGCTTGGTCGCGCTTTTGGCGCTCGAGAGGGACTTGGTCGTGGGCTGTGAAGCCTTCTTCGTCGTAGACGAGACCCTTTTCCTTGACCCAAATCTTCAAAAGCTCACCCTTCTTGGCGTAGAAGGCTGTCATCTTTTCATGAATGACCTGAGCATATCCCAAATCGCCAGGCTGGAGCGGCTGACCGGCCTTTTCCTCGATGTCGGCAGTTTTGGATTTCTTGGGGCGCGGGGTGAGGTCCAACTGGAGGGCGGCGTGTTGGAGACCTTTGTCGATGGCTTCGGAGAGGATTTCGAAGGGCTCGTGCATCTGCTTCATTACTTCGTTCCATACTCGCTTTTCGATCTCCTTCTCGGCTACCACCTCGGGTGGCGTGTCTTCTTCCGTGTACCACCCCTGGGTCTCGGAGACGCGCTTGAAAATGTCGATGATGGTGGTCATACCCAAAACAGGAATGTACACATTCCTCAACAGCGTAAACATGTGGCTGAGATCTGTGGCGTCCAGCCTTCCCCAGGCAATATCTCTTTTCGCAAATCCCATATCGGCATGCAACTTTCCGGAGAGCTCTCGTAGGGCAGCGGCCGTCTCGGCCAACGCCCTCGCGGCCTTGGCCTCCTTGGTGATCCTTGGCTTTATATTCGCTTTCTTGGCCTTTTTGGCCTCCTTCCTCGCCCAGGTATCAGTTCTCGTAGCAGGCGCGAACATATCCTCCGACTCGAGACTGGCCAGGTAAGCCTTTTGCAGGGAAGCCGTCTTTCTCAGCAGGCCCATGGCGCCAGCAAACTCCTTGAAAACGACCAGGCGGCTGCTGACGGGGAAGACGAGGAGGTTGACAGCCAGGGCAATAGCCAAAGCGAGCAACATGGCTGTCGCCAGCTGCTGGACAAAGTGCTTGGCGGCGGTCATGGTGGTCATGATGGGGCCGGAAGTGGCGGCGATGTTGACCAAGATACTGTAAACAATGATGGGGAGGTTAAAGGCCGGCATCTTTGCTCTCACCACGTTTCCCACCCAGATATTGAAGAACAGCCAAACGGCACACACAGCAGACTGGCTCGAGTTGTAAGTCGGGGACGGGGAAAGCGGGGCGTCTTGGGGTGTGGTATGTTGGCGGGCTTTGACGGCGGTGAACAGGGCGAGCATGGAGATGGCGGAGCCGAAGCAGACGGCGACAAGGTTGAGGACCATGTTCATGAGGAATTTTCCGCGGGGGAGGATGGCAATGGCCATGACGGAGATGATGGGAACGAGGTAGCCCACGGTGCCGAAGTAGATGGCGATCGAGTGGGCCTGGCACATGGCGATGCCGATTGTAGGGGGAAGGGAGCCTCTGTGTTGGACCGGATGGTGTTAGTATTTGGTCTTATGAGCCATGGGCCAACGTACTTGAACATCATGAGGACTGTTGGCACATCGAGACCCAGCTTCGCAGCTATGGCGGCCAGCTTGCCGGGCTTGGTTGGCTTTTGCGGGACTGGATTTGGGGCGGCATTTGTTACGTTGGTCGGGACGCGCATGTCATCGTCGGTGTCGCTATCGGTGTCGGTGGTGAGGCCATCGTCGTCGTCGTCTGGCAGTGGTGGTGTTGGTGGTGGTTCGTGTTCGTGTTGCTGTTGTCGCGAAGTGAGGGTGTCTATCGAGTTGTTGTGGTCGCGTGTCTGTCGCCGCCTCGGGTCGTTGGCATCCTGTTGTTCTGCCATGGCGACCTAGCGACTGTCGACTTGTCGCGACTTGGTTGTGTTGAACTTGGGGAAGATCAGACGGTGTTTGTGGATTCTTTCGTCGCAACTTTCTGCAGGGACAGTGACATGGGCGTGGAGTCGTGACTCGGAGATACTCGGGTGGGTACGAGTCCTGGAGGCCCAATTCTTTTCTGGGGCAATTGTATGCTCCCAATTGGCCTTTTGAGATGGAAACCAGATGCCGATGAGATGGGATTGGGATGGACCGGACAAGATCAAGAATCCGTCGCCATGTCGATCTTTTTCATAATTGTTAGTGTATCCTCCATCGGGAACTATCCAATGGGTCACCCGGGGCCTTGCGGTGCAAAAAAGTGCGTCATTGGGCAGGAACAATGCGGTGCATCTGCAGTGGGGTATCCCTGTAACGCTACAGTGCTTCTAGGGGCCCTGGGGCCTCGGCGTCCACTCACCGCTGCCACACAGATCGATCACTGGCAGCGCTTTGAAGCCCCCGCATCTTTCATCACCACCTATCCATCTGGAATTCCAACACATTACCCAATTACCACCGTGTTCCTGAGCGACAACCACAGACGACGCGCAGTCTTTCCCCGGATACCTCGACGACGGCGACTGTTCCAAACACCACGACTCGTCCTTGTCGCCCAGCTTTAATACGCGTAGCGCGCCGATTGATCAGCGCCTCCTGAGCTAGCAAACTCTGTCCCAGGGTGCTTGGGTATCCCTACGAAGCCTGGTAGATAACGTCCCTGGCCTACGACGGGTCAAGAAACTCCAGACGAACGAAACACAAGAGATGGCAGATTACAAAGCCGGGGGGCCGGAACGGCAGTCGTTGGGTTGAGTTTCAGATTGCGGTCTCGGAGCTTGTCCGACTCTCCGACTCTCCGGACTACGTACCCCATCTCCACGGGTCTTCCCTGGTGCTGCCAGGGGCCGTGTTACATATATCAGATCTGATCGGGAATATATCGGTCCGGGACGGGGGACTGACTGAGTCATGACCGAATGCGGAATGACGGGTAGCTAGCTCAGCCGGCTTGGAGCAGTGGAGGTGACTCTCAGATTCAGACTCAGACTCAGGGACTTGGGCGTCGTGCGGACTTGGCACACGCTTTGCTTTTCTAGCTCCTCTTAGGGGAGATAAGAAAAAAGGCTCGAAGAAAAGAAAGGACTTGGAAGAGGACGTTAGAGCCTAGGATCAAGACCTTGAGAAGGAGAGAGGACCTGGGCGTAGTTCCGTCGTCAATAGACGTCGTGTTGCTTTCGAAATTGTTAGTGATCTCGCTTAGGACTAACAGAATGTTAGCAACTACAGAGTTGCAAATGTTAGCAGATATCCGGTTCCCATCATCTAAAAATGCCCGGCCAAGACCGATGAGACGGCATCAAGCATTGCCCTTCAACAACACTGACCGAGTTCCGTTGCAAACACGAAAACCCAAAGAGAAGGCGTGAAAACGACCCTGACAGTGAAAGACACCTTTAGTTTTTAGCTTTTTGTTGTAACCCCCAAAACTCCAATTACAGGGAAAGGAACGCGCCGAATGCCAATGCAAATCTCCCCCCATCCTTTCCGACTTTCCGAGAAGCAAACCAAAACTTTTTGTCGTTATCCTAAACATTTTGTCATAGCCCAGCCCAGTCGTTATATCATGCAAACCAAATCCGTAACTTTTCCCATCCTATGCTTTTTGTTTGCCCACATTCCATCATCACAGCCCATAATCCATCACATCCATGTCGTATTCAAATCATATGTCGTCAAAAAGATCCCATCGTCGACTCCACCAAACCACCTACACCCACGCACAGTAACAGCCTACTACTCCCCCCTAGAGTACTTGCAAAACTGCCTCCACCTCTCCCCATACCTAAACACCACCACACTAATCGGCGCCAACACCAAACTCATCGCCCCAAACACCATAAACCCCCAACCATACCCAAAAGAATCCACCAGCGGCGCTGTCGTCAACGGCAAGAAAGTGCCCATAAGACACCTACTCACAATCACGCCCGTCATGGCGCTAGCCGAGAACAAACCAAAAGCATCGACCACGTACGCCATCAGCGGGATGAGCGTCAACATGACGTTGGCGCCAATCAGCCCACAAGCAATGAGCAAGAAGGGGAGGGGCAGACGGAGCTGGGCGACCCAGCCGTAGAAGGTGATGGCGAAGGGCATGCTGAAGGCGCCGAGGATAGTGAGGGGGAGGCGGTATTCTGGTTTTTCCTTGGGAAGGGAATCGTCGGGAGAGCAGGGCTGGGTGAGGGCGGCATCGCGGTCGCGGAGGGCGATGTAGATGCGGTCGAGGAAGGCGTTGCAGGTTAGGACGGCTAGGAAGGAGCCGACGGCTGTTGAGGAGTGTTAGTATGTCCCTTCGAAAGAATGGGGGGAAGGGGACTTACTAAAACCCATAAAACACAACCCCTTAACCGCTCCCGACAGCCCATAGTTATCCTCAAGAATATCCGGCAACGTGACACTAATCACGTAAAAAAACGAAAACGTGACCGACCCCAACAAGCTCAACGCCATCAACAACCCACTCCCAAACACCACCAAAAACGGCCGCAAAACCGAATCCCTCAACTTCCTCCACGCCTCGCGCTTGCTGCCCATGCTCATCTCCGAGTACGTCCTCCTATGTCCCCTTCTTCCGCCCCCCAAACTCGCATTCGCCCGATCCGCGAGTCTGCTCTTCTCCCTCACCCTCCTCTTGATAATCGCCACTTTATACGTCTCCTTAAACAAACACAAAAACGCAACCTCACAAATGGTACTCAACGCCGCCGCTCCCCAAACAACATTCCTCCACCCCACACTTTCCGCCACGGCACTAGCTATCGCCGGTCCCACCGCCCCGCCCACGAGGGGAGCGACGAAAATCATACTCATCGCACTCCCTCTCTGATCACTCGGAAACATATCGCCCACTATAGCCGGGTTGAGCACATTCGACGCGACCGCCAGACCAGTCAAGCATCTGGAGAGGATGAGAGTAGGGACGCTGGTGGCGGTGGCAGTGAGGATGGTGAAGAAGATGAGCAGGATGTTGGAGATGTTCAAGGTCGGGTAGCGGCCGAAGAGCTCGGAGAGGGGCGCGATGAGTAAGGGGCCCGTGGCTTCGCCTAGTTCCCAGATGGTGACGAGGAGGACGGAGGCGGATTTGAGAGAGGGGGGTGGGGTGGAGGGGTCGGATGGTGGAGGGGTGAGGGAGCGGACGATGGAGGGGGCGAGGGGAACGAGGGAGATGCAGTTGAATGTGCTGGAAGCAATGTCAGTATCAGTATCAGACTGGAGTCGTACAATTGTCAAAAGGGGGGATGAGATGATGTTGAGATGAATTGTGAATGGGTGTACGTACACACTAAAAGCCGTCATGGCCAACAAGGCCACCACACTCCATTTGAACGGCGTCGGCCAGTTCTGCGGGTTATCCGGGTCGTCGTCAAAGTTGATGTTACAATCCTCCAACCCATCATCATCATCACCATCGTTGTTGCCGTTGCCGTTGACGTCGTTGTTTGTATGCGGTGCACGGGCTACCGTACCATCCGTGCCGTAGTACCGCCGCCGCTGCGATAACAAATCCTCCTCGGTATCATGATGGCTGAGCAAGGGCCTGCTTTCGTCCGATGACAACCTGGTCATCTTGGCGCTTGGCGCTTGGCGGGCGTCCCTGCTTCTTTTTCGTTTTGACCGAGAACTGAAGGAAACGAAACAACGAAACGAAGGGAAGGGGGGAAAGGGAATGGAAATTGATATCAATGACTGGATGAGATGACGAAAATTTCTAGCAGCCTCTTGACCACACGCCCTTTCGGACTTGCAGCCAGCCAGCCGCTTCATGCACAAAATCTGCAATGTGACAATGCACCAATAGCGTCCATGTTCTAGGCCTTGTCGGAGCTCTTTATTGGTCAATTTGCAGTGACACAAGGCGATAGCGGGGAGATAGGGCCATGTACCCCGACGGGAATTATCTTCAGGGACCGGTTAGGGTTAATTGCATAAGGCGGGTGGAGGAATTGTTTTGTTCATCAGTGCATGTTAGTGCGTGGACGACAGTGGATTCGATGGGCAGCAATTGATGGGTTCATCGTTGTACCCAAAGCACCTTGTTGGGCAGATGATGATGCTTGTTTTTTCGGGTTTCTTTCTTGTGACTCCCATCTTATCAAACCTCCCACAAACCGGGAGGGTGTGCAAAGATTCCAGCTTACACATATCTTGGACAACCCCAGATGCGGAAGAGGTTCGCTACCAGAACCTACCGCGCGATATCAAGCCAACGGAAGCATCCCATGTCCCATCCCGCAGCACACCATTGTCCAATGTTTCCTGTCTTGTACAACTGATGGACGATTCTCGAAAAGCGGGGAAACCTCGAATCTTAGCACCGCGAACACCATTCCGCATTCCGTCCTCTTCTCCGCATCGGCATCACGTCTTCCGTATGGTTCACTGCAGGGAAAACAGAACTGACGGGAGGGTCGCACCGGTGCTCTCACCAAACGTCATCCGAGACATTCGGTTTCGGGTTTTGTGGTTTTGGTAGTGGGATTGGGGGCTTTTTTAGTCGAGGTTCTGTGCGCGGACCACGATGAAGAAGCGATTGAACCATCCATGTAGCAAACGCCATGCTATGCAGACTCAGAATGCAGCAGAACTTTACAGTCCAATACTGGTTTATTTGTTAGTTCGAGACCTCGGGTCAACTTCCCTGGGCGTTTTCATGCTGTGAATATGCCTTTTCCAAAATGAAATACGCCGTAGTAGATCTTATTAATGCCTTTCGGATCCGTACCTAGCCATTTTCATGTCATGAATATGCTTTTTCTAAAGTAAAATACACCGTATTGAATCTTATCAATGCCTTTCATTTAATCTTTATAAAGTTTGGAACAATTCGGAAGAGATCTCGTCCAATGTTTTAGGAGTACCTAGGTACCAAGCTAACAAACAAACCAGTACTAGATTGTAGAGGCGATCCATCACAACAGACTTCCCAGCATCACAACGACGACAGCCACCGCGACGCTCAACACCTTATCGCCAGTCATTCTTACCCCAAAGGACGCCAACGCAGTAGCGCTCACACCTCCATCCCCGCTTCCACCACCAGCTGAACTCGTCGCCGCCACCGCCGCCGTAGGTACCGCCAATGTCGTGGTGACAAACCCCGACAACCCTAACCCTCCAGTTCGAGTCACAGCATCAGTGTCAGTTGTCGAACTAGGCGCCGCCATCGCCGTCTCCGAAACCACATCCACCACCGCCTCCTTCTGGCCCGGCTGCACCTCGCACTTCCCTACTACTCGAGATAAATCGGTGACGTCCTTGAGCGCGGCGGGCGTGGAGCCGCACGAGGAGGCTTGTGTGAGCCAGATGGAGTGGGTTTGGAGGTCGAAGACGGCTTTTCTTTCTGTTAGCATTGAACCAAGTTGCTAGAAAAAGGGAATGGAAGGGAAAGGACAAAGGGAAAAAATGGAAACCAACCATAAGCGTTCCTCAAAAAAGTATCCCCCAAAAGCGTAAAACTCTCGCTCCCCTCGTAGAGTAAAAACAAACAAAATCAACGCTTGGTTTTCGCTGTGCCTTGGGCTTTACCCCGAGGTCACTTCATTTGTATAGTATTCGCTGCTGCTATATAGAAGGCAAATGCCGCCTACGCTTCTTCTTGGACCTATGCCTGCTACTAGGGGCCGGGGGGAGGCCGGGCAGCTGCTGGTTCATGTTCTTCGGTAGCGCGTTGTTGATGAACGATAGTACGAACCAAGGGCATCTTTGATCCTTGTATGCCTCCTCTCTCTAGCAGATTAGGCGTGGTTTGTGCTGCCGTTGGTGCTTCTGTGGGCTCGTGGGGTTGTTGCTGCGGCTGCGCGGAGGTGTCGAGAGGGAGTCTTGGGCGGCGGAAGGGGAAAAACTTCCCCTCCGGGTGAACGAACTAGTTGAAGATGAATACTACTATCTACTAGCCAAAATTGGTTGCCAGTTTGCTGATGACCATCTCTATTAGGCCTGTGGATTCGTTGGTGGAGGCGCTGGTGAAGGCGCTGGTCGACGCGTTTGTGGACGCATTTGTGGACATTTTGACGAGTAGTGGGCAGCGACGAGCGACGAGTGTGGGAGGCAGCCGACGAGAGTGGATGAATGCTTGGGCAGCAAATAATGGAAGCAATGTTTGAGTCCAAAAAAAAACGAAAGTTGATGATGTTGTTGGAGAGGAAAAGAAATCCGGACGAAAGGGTGTGGGGGAGAGGGATCTTATAGTTGTTCTGGGTGCCCTGGCTGATCTGGAGACGAGGGAACGACCGGTTTGTTCACCTTCCGTCACTTCCATGACGTCTGGCTGCATTTGCTAGTGCCTGCAGACAATAATGGCATGGTGCTGCCTCAACTGCCAGTCTCTGAGGTTCTATAAGCAAGTTCGATCGCAGCTTCGAAAATGATTTATTTCCCGTTCGCAATAGCGAATGGAAGAATCGTCCTGCTCAGCTTGAAAGTTGAGAGCAGCCTTCCTACCTCCTTCAGCTGTGGTCAGTTTGGTAAATGCTGCAACCAGCTTTCACGTTACGGTGTGTGAGATGGCTAAGGCAGAAGGGCGCATGTGAGCAGCTCAAGGTGTCCCAAAAGCAGGAACAATCATTGATATCCGCTAAGAGGTACTCGTCGGTTAAGTTGATGTGCCTCGCTTACATAACAAGCCAACCAACTCTCCTCCTCCCTCTAAGAGTCGGTCTTTTTACCTATAACGTACAAACTCTATAATAGTCAGAATCTTCAAATATTCGTTTCTCTACCAAAATATAAGTAAAAAAAATAGTAAAAGATCTAAATTATTCGCTTCAATTGCGCATATTCAATAATATACATAAAATATTTTCAAAATATTATAATATATTATTATAGTATTGAGAACTCTTTGTAGTCTATATGCTTACAATACAATATCCAACTCCTCGTTTTCCTCCTCCCCTTATAAATTCCTATCACTACCATTATTATTATTATTAAAATTATTATTTATGATAATTATTACCCTTATATAGTTTTCGGGTACCTCCAACTTCTTACCCGCTACTATTATAATTACTATAGTAACCTTATTAAAATCTATATTAATAGCCTTTTCCTTCCCCTTTATAGATTTTTTCTTAGATAGGTATAGTATTGAAAGGACTCTTATTAATAGCCTAATTAGATAAATATATTAAGGTAAGGTAGGGAGTTTATTTAGTATATCCCTTATACCTTCGTTAATTAGGATAATTTGAACCGACGAGTTACTTTCTCTATAAATCTTTTTAACCCGCTTCTTATTATACGTTTTAAATAGTACGTAATCTTCGTTAGTAAAAGGTATAGTGGCCTTCCTTATAAGGTTATGATGTAAATCCTCCTCGTTTTTAAGGCTAGTAAGAAAAGTAACTATATTCTAATTTGGTAACTTTTTTTAAATCTAGATGTTTCTGGTATATAATATAAGTAGTTAGAGCCTAGCCTACCAAAGAAATATAGCTTAATAGTACGTTTAAACTCTTCTAATAAGAATAGGAAAATTGAATTAATAATACCATCGCTAAAATTGCAATACGTAAATAGGAAGAATCAGATAAAAAAACGCGCTACTTCGTAAAAAAATCTAATAGAAAAAAGGAAGTATACTTTCAAGAAATTTAAAGAAGGTTAGAAGGTAGAAGTATAATTATTAGAAGAAGAAGCTTTTCGTCGATTATCGACCCTAAATTATCATTAAAATTCTAAATTAAGAATGTAGTTTATATAGTATTTAATAGGGTATAAGTAGGAAGTAAATCGACTACAAATTTCTATATATCATGGGGCTAAGGCACGGGCTATAGAGCTTTGGTTTTACGACTAGAGCTGTTATAAGCTACCGTAGTTTTAACTATATAGCCCCTATTAAAACTACGCACCTCCAGTGGAGCCGCTTTTCAAACAGACTTTTCCTCCTTTATAGAACATCAATTAAGCTATACAACTAGTACCTATATTAACTATACCAATTCTATTATATTAGATTCTATTATTAAGATAGACCCGATAGATTTAAACAAGTAGCCTCTCAATAGTACGCTTACAATATTAACGCCGAATTAGCCGCTGCGGATATAAAATTGGTAATAGTTATTATAGTACTTATAGCTATAGAAAGGGAGTAGGCTATATAATTAGCCGCTTAATAAGTAGAATAATAATAAAGAGAGAGAGAAGTATTCGCTATAAACCTTTTTACTAATAATATATTTACTTAAATTATAAGAGTAGCGTTTAATATTCCGCCTACTATTTAAAATCAATAAAGTACTATCCTAATGACTATTATTACTTTGGGCGCTATAGTTAATATTAGAGAAGAAGCCGCCTTGAGTATTATATGTAATTTAAAATATAAAAACGTTCGCTGGCCGAAGTAGGATAGAATAACTTCAATATTCTCGCTATTCCTTATTCGGCTACGTTTCATATACAAAAAAGAAAGAATTATAGGAATAATTATTAGTCATAAATCCGGATGGTTAATAGTATTAAATATTCTCCTTAGCGATAAAATAACGAAGGTAGAAGCCTTTTAACGCTACGGTAATACTAACGGAATATACTAACCCGAAGAATTCTTTAATTATTTAGAATTGGTCTTTAGTAATAAGAACGAGAAGTAATTAGTGTTAATTCGCCTATACTCTATTTATTAATACTATTACGATGCACCAGCTTACGTAGTTCCGTATTGCGTAGTTGGGTATAAATGAATAAATAATTAAAGTTAAAGAAGGAAAGAGGGAGAGGTTGAGAGTTGGGCTCTAATATGTACCCTTATATAGGATGAGCCTAGATTCTACTAGCCTCGACCGCTTTCCTTATTTAATATAATAATATATATAAATACGATATATAGGTTGCGGTATTAATTAAATAGGTGCGTATGTTAATGCTACTAGTGTGGCTAATTAAAGTACGTATATTAATAGCTTTAGTAAGTCCTATAAGTTTTATTACTAAGACGAATAGGATGTGATTTATAGTACTAGATCCTAGTCGTTATATTACCCTCCCCCCCCTCCCCTCCCCCCCGGGTTGAGGCTTAGCTTTAGAGCTGAAAAGAAAGAAAAGAAAAATTTCTACTATAAATATAAATCGAATATTTTTTCCAACGTCTTTTATATCCCTTACTTCCTTACTATTACCCTTCTCCTGAAATTAATTTATAATCCTTCTACTAGTTTATTATTATTATTATAGTCTAACTTATTACTTGCTAACTATTAAACTAATCGTTTGGAGGGTCCTGGTATTATAGGTTTTACGTTATAATATTTTTTTAAGAGTTCCGTTAAATTAATAAAGTTGCTCGTTGGTTAGAATTCAAGATTAGGGTCCTAACCTTTCTATTCAATTTAATACTTTAAATTTCCTTTTATTACCTTTAATTAAATAACTTTTAAAATTTCCTATTCCTCTTAATTACTAATTAGTTCGCCGGTTAGGTTATTGTTACTTTATTTAAGTAGTAGGTTATTAGTATATTTCCTTAAATAGTTAATATAATAAACGGTTATTCCTTTTTATTCTTTAGGAACCTCTAGTTCGTAAAAGTATTTTTTTATAATTTTAATTTTATAAGAAATACGTATTTATTATAAATCGAATTTATTATTAGGGCGGTTTATAATTTATGTTTTTTTAATAATAAAAATATAATTTTTAATACCAAAGTTTAATTCCCTTTTGTATTTATTTGCTTAAATAGTCGATTATTATTGGGCTTGATTAATAGTATGATAGGCTATAGTATAGAACGTTTTTAATTAGTTTATTAATTAAAAAGTTTCCTATTAGTTAATATCCGTTTTAAGTGGTTTTGGATTTATACGGTTCTCTTAATCTAGTATACTAAGTATAGGGAAGCTTATAATGATTTCTCTAGGAAATAGTCTATTTAGGCTATTATAGGGTAGGTTTATTTACGCTATATTTAATACTAGGATGAATTTTAATTAGTTATTCTAATTGTAGTTAATATATAGTTTTAAACGTTAATTAATATATTAATATGGTCTTTATACCTGGCGAATTATTTGTAAGTATCCCGATATAACTACTTTCTATTTAACATTTAATAAGGAGGTTGCATCTTATATTATTTAAGAAACGAATTAACGACCCCTATTATTAATTATTTTATTTAATAATTTAAAGAGGCGATAAGGATTACGGTAATATAGGATAGTAATATTTTTTATAGTGGTAATATCCTTATAGAGAATATTTTAGCTTACTTTCGAGAATTGGTCTATAATAACTATGAATATATTATAATCGTAATAGTCCTTTAATATAAATTTAAAGTCGATAATTAAAAATCTTTAAGTTTAATAATCTTTAAATAATATAATAGAATATATTAATTTAGGGGTTTTATTTTTAGGGGCTTTCGACGTTTTATAAGTCTAATAATTATTAATATAACGGTTTATATTTACCGCTATACCGATATAACTAAAAGTCCTTATTTTAATAATAAGTATCTTTTATTAACTATTCTGTTTTTTTTAATTTCGACGATAAAAATATATTCGTATTTAATACTGTTAAACATATATTATTTTATTTAATTAATATCCAATATAGGATTGCTCTTAGTACGATATATAGTATTATAGATATCCTTAGGTTGTTAATTTAAAAGTAATTTACTCTTTAGAATTTTAGTAACCTTCATTTTTTTCTTTAAATTCTTCTTTATTAATAACCGTATTTTAAATACTTTAATTCCTTATTTTTCTAATTCTTCGATTTTTTTTAGAGAAACTCTATTTGCACGTGGATAAAGCTCTATCTGCACGTGGATCCACTTTTTTTAACATACAAATCCCTAACCCTACCGCCCCGCACCTTCCGCCAAAGTACCTCAGTCCATTTCGCTCCCACGACATAGCCCCCGACAGCGTATTTGCTCTCCCGACAGCGCATTCGCTCCCCCGATAAAGCATTCGCATTATATTTATATCGTACGTCAATTGCAGTCGCTATCGCATATTATTCCCTATCGTCAATCAATTCCCTTCGTCATTTCAATCGCTCCAGAGGAAGATATACGCTATTAAGTATTAGGTTCGTGAATGCGCTGTCGGGGGAGCGAATGCGCTGCCGGGGGCCGTGTCGGGGAGCGAATGCGCTGTCGGAGTCAAAAGATATATTTGGTCGATTGGAGAAGGATAGGGTTAGGGAAATATATGAAGGAAAAAGTGGATCCACGTGCATATAGAGTTTTTCCCACGTGCAGATAGAGTTTCTCTTTTTTTAATAACCTTCTTTTTTTATTTCTTTAATCTTCTTTTTCTTCGCTTCCTCCTTTATTACGGCTTTTTTATTTTATTTCGTTATTTCTTTTATTTTACTTTAAAGTTTAATAATAATTGTATTTAATTTTCGGGCTTTAATTTCAGCTTTTTATTCGTTTTAGAGGGTTTTAATTTAAAATAGTATTTTATTTGCCCGCCGTTTATTTTTTTAAAGCTATAAATCGTTCGCGGTATATGATATTTCTTTAAAAGGAAGGGTCCTTAAATAATTTAGGCCGTTTTTTAATTTTAATATTACAATTTTATAGTACTTTAAATAGTTTATTAAGGAGAATAAATTAGTTATTATAAGAGTTAGGTAAAATGTTATTTTCGGCCGATTATATTTGACTAAAGATTATATCCTTAATTATATTTAGTAAAATTACTATTTATTACTTTATAAACTTAAATCCATATATTCGAATAGTGTTAAGTAGGGTTTGGGTAATAGTATTTGGTTTGGTTAATTTATATAGTCAAATATAATTAGGTAGGAAATTAATTTTGAATTTGAGTTTTAAGTATTTAAGTAGTTTGTTAGTAAACTTTTAGTTTACAATAATATATATATTTATTCCCGTATTGATAAGTGCGTTGAAGGTGGAAAGAGATAATTTATTATTAATTATACTATATTTAACAAAGAAAGACGGGCTTTTCTTTAAATAGTTTCGTAAATCGAATTTATTAGTATCATTCTTTTTTCCTATTAATATATTAATTAATATTTCGCTTAGAAAAGAGATTTATTTCTCTAAGTAATTTAGTTTTTCGAATCTTTTTTTTACTTAATAACAATATTAAAGCCTTCTTCTTCCTTAGTTACTTCGATATTATTATTATTATAGCATGGCTAGATGGATCCCTTACATAGGCATAGCGCGCCCTCATGGTCGCACCATAGCAAATCGGATGGAATGAGGCTCGTGTCCTTATCGATAAGCAGTACGGATTGGGAAGGCGGTAATGACTAGCAGTTCTAACTTATATATTCAAAACTATAATACTATTGTTTAATTACTTCCATTTCCTCCTTACACTTAATATTCCTTTA